ATAAACCTTGTGCTCTTTTGGCGAAATATATAAAAAGAATTTTTTTTAATAAAAATATGAGTAATACATTTTCTATTTAGGAAATAAATCTTGTTTTTTCTTTGTTTTTTTATATCTAGTATAGATAAAAAAAAAAAAAAAAAAGAAGTAAGTAAAACTACACACTCTCAATTTACCTTTTGTATCCATATAATAAAATTATAAAAATTATAATTTATCATATGCATATGCTAAAAGGTAAAAGAAAGTAATATAACCTTGTAAAAAAAATCTATATGTATCTTTACTTCTAATTTTTCGTTCACTTTTGGGCAAAATTTTAAAATATTGTAAGAGAAAATAATTCTTTTATTCTTTATAATTAAACACTAGCTGTCACTTTGTGTAATATACGAAATTTATAATATCTCTTTATCGTCATTGTTCCCCTATGCTCAATATTATTAGAAAATTATTTATTAATGTACTAATTAATATTTTATTTAAAAAATTAAATATAAAAATATCTATATAATAAAGTACAATACAATTCAAATCTTAAAAGATAAACAAAATGATTTTTGTTATTCATGGTTGAGATCACTTTAAATTTTATTTTAAAGTTAATCTAACGGCTAATATCAATACCCCAAATTTAATAGGAAAAATAAACTCTTAAGGGTGTGTTTGAAGAGATTTTTTAAAAAATACTTCTAGAAATTATTTCTCATAAATACTTTTAAAAAAAATAGTGTTTGGAATAGTCCCACCACTACCTCTACCACCACCACCCCCACCCCCACCATTCCACCACCATCACCGTTGTCGCCACCATCACTATTGCCACCCTACCATATCCACCACCCCACCACCACCATAACCACTACCACCACCAGCCCACCATCATCACTACCACTACCACCAACGTCCCACCACCACCACCACCACTTCCAGCGCCTCAGTACCACCGCTGCCGCACCCTACCATCATCACCACCATTGNCGCCACCATCACTATTGCCACCCTACCATATCCACCACCCCACCACCACCATAACCACTACCACCACCAGCCCAGCATCATCACTACCACTACCACCAACGTCCCACCACCACCACCACTTCCAGCGCCTCAGTACCACCGCTGCCGCACCCTACCATCATCACCACCATTGTCGCACTTTGCCACCACCGCTACTATCTCACCATCACCCATACAACACCCACTGTCCCACTACCACCCCCCATAACCATCACAATTACCCCTACAATCACCACTGCCCCATTTCTATTCCCACCCCACCCTCACTGCCCCCACCGCCACTACCACCACCACCATCGCCACCCACCATCGATTTCTACAATTGTTGTCCATGACCACCACCACCCACCACCAATATCATCTTGTTCTTATATTTACTACCATTACCACCATCATTCCACTACCATCGTTGCACACCGTCAACACCCATCACCACTCATCGTCGCCCACCATCGCCACCAGCCACTATCACCTACCCCACCACAACTACCACCACTTGTCATCGCCCACCACTGCAGCCACCCATTGTCACCTAACCCCACCACATTTACCATCGTCGTCATCTACCACCACCCATTACACTGTCGCCTAGAAGCATCCATTGTCGCCCACCATGACCACTATCATCACCGCCCACCACCACCACCGTCATCATCGCCCATCACCACCACAGCCAACCAATATCACCGTCGTCCACCACCACCCACACCCACACCCATCACACCACCGTTGTCACCCATAACTGTTATTATCATCATCGTCACTCAAAACCCACCACCACCATCACCATTGTCACTCATAGCTGCTACCACCACCACAATTGTCGCCTTACCCACCACAACCATCATGTCTCTCACCATCACCACTGTCGCCCACCACCACTCACCCCCCATTACAATTGGTGCTTAAATTTCTATATATCACCTCTATGTTTGTGATTTGATTTTAGTTGTGAATACAAATATGTTGACCTTTTTTTTATTACTCCGTGACTTCAGGCACGGGGAATAACTAGTCTATATAATAAAGAACAATACAATTCAAATCTCATAAGATAAACAAAATAATTTTTACTATTTGTGGTTGAGATCTCTTTCAATTTTACTTTAAATTTAATTCGACAACTAATATTAACACTCCAAATTTAATAGAAAAAATAAGTTGCTAAGGGTGTATTTCGGATGACTTTTTAAAATTATTTTTAATCCTTATAATTTCTCATATGTATATATTTTAAAAAGTAGTGTTTGGAACCAACCCACCACCACCATTACCACCACTAAACTATCCCCCACCATCAGCACCACTACCGATACCACCTCCATCGTCGCCACCCCACCACTACCACCACCATCCCACCCACCGCCTCACCACTACCACCACCCCCCCGCCCCTTACCATTACCACTGTTGTCGTCACCATACCATCACCACCGTCGCCACCTCAAAACCTCCACCATCCCCATTACACCCACTACTACCACCACTACCGTCACCTCCACCCCACCACCATCGTCGCCACTCCACCACCATCTCTTTCACAACAACTATCAGTGACCCTTACTATCACCACTGTTATCATTACTGTTGGCGCCACCCCACCACCACCACCCCTAGCCCCAACCCGACCACCATTATCCCCACTACCCCACCCCCACCACCATTGTCACCTTTACCCCACCACCACCGTACCACAATCATCATTGTCCAACCATCACCCATACCATCATAACCCCTATCGCCACCCCACCACCGCCATTATCATCCACTACCTCTACTATCGCTCACTCCCACTATAACCGGTGTTTAAATTTTATATTTATGATTTGATTTTAGATATAAATATAAATATATTTATTGTTGACTATTTATATAATAAAATAGAACGATTTTGAATTTTGGGGACAAAAAGCGGCGTAGATCGTTTCGTAACTAAAAAAATCATCATCCAACGGACTGCGTTATCTCAAACTGTCTCAAGCTATTGACGTCTTAGATTGTTTTAATCTGACATACCACATTAACTCTTTTAAAAAAAATTTGCTGCTCAAAATTTATAATTTTCAAAATTGATATTCTAAAATTTAATTCCCTCAAATCTTTTCTTTAAAACAAGTAAATCTTTCTCTTTCATTCCTCTGTATCTTTCTCTTACGCTCAATTCACGCAAAAAATATCAATGTTTCACAATATTTTTCTCTGTATCTCACGAAAATATTAGAGTGTCTAATTCAAGCAAATATTATATCTCTCTATAGATAGATAGTATGTACCACAAAGAGATAGCATATTACTAAAATATTCCTTTGTATCTCTCTTTAAAGAAAAATTATGTAATAAATATTAGATAGATAGTATATATCATAAAAATATTCATTTGTATCTCTCTCTTTCATTCAAGCAATACTACAAACACGAATCATACAAATTCAATAGTCAATTTTTTTTTTCCATAATCAATAAAAAAAATCTAATTTGCAAAAAAATTAATTTAATATAGAAAATATGCTTAACATGTAAAATATATAAGATAAAATTCAAGTTATTGGGCAACTCAAATATCAAGAGATATATTAAAAAAAATATGCTCAACATTTAAATTATACAAGATTAAATTCATATACAAACACGAATCATACAAATTCAATATTTAGTGAGCAACACAAAACAACAATATTTACTAAATAATTTAAATCTAAATATTCGAAAAAAATGATACAAAATTACAAGTGAGAGAAACGATACAACACGAAGTAACAATCTTTACTAAATAATCCAATACTAAATAACATTTAGTTTAAGAAAATATATTAACAATATAAATAATCGAGAAGAATGATATAAAATTAAAAACACTACTATAAACTCGAATCATACAAATTTAAAAATCATATCGTATCTTTTGAAAGTCAGTTAAAATTTTGATATTTATATTTGTTCATTTGACAACATCTACAGATTTAGTTTATTTATGAGAGTATTGTTTTAATTTTTATTTTATTAGTTTAGTTTATTTATGGGAGTATTGTTTAATTTTATTTTATTAATTATGAATTCTGTTATTATTTAGATAAAATTGATTATGAACTTTAAAATCGTGAATTTTGAATCAAAAACAAAACATTGAATATTGTCAACGAATATAATTTTTCAGATGTTTGAATTATTATGTTTCAATAGTTATAACATAATTTTCGTGGTATAACAATTAACATAATTTTATATGTAGGTTGATATTATAAAAAATATTAGCGGACTTATTTTGTTCGTCGTTTACGACAATGTTGTATTTTACTTTACATTTATGTATGAGTAAATATTTGTAACTAATTTATGAGTAAAATCGTGCTTCCAGGCGCGAACAATTGCTAATTTTTTTATAAAAGAGATGAAAATTTTAAATAAACAGTAGGTATTAAAAAATTAAAAATAATTTCATAGACCAAATATTATAATTTAATTAGAAAAAGGCCAATTAAATGACTTAAAATTATTAAAAAAAAAATCGACGATCGCCAAAAGTCGCAATGGATTGTGACAAAATTCAGTGAGACACAATGGCAGAGAGAGAAGAGGAGAGAGAGAAAGGGAAAGGAAGCGAGAGATGGAGCGCAGCGATCGCCAATCTGTCGGATATGGCTGCCTCTGTCGNGTAACAATTAACATAATTTTATATGTAGGTTGATGTTATAAAAATATTAGCGGACTTATTTTGTTCGTCGTTTACGACAATGTTGTATTTTACTTTACATTTATGTATGAGTAAATATTTGTAACTAATTTATGAGTAAAATCGTGCTTCCAGGCGCGAACAATTGCTAATTTTTTTATAAAAGAGATGAAAATTTTAAATAAACAGTAGGTATTAAAAAATTAAAAATAATTTCATAGACCAAATATTATAATTTAATTAGAAAAAGGCCAATTAAATGACTTAAAATTATTAAAAAAAAAATCGACGATCGCCAAAAGTCGCAATGGATTGTGACAAAATTCAGTGAGACACAATGGCAGAGAGAGAAGAGGAGAGAGAGAAAGGGAAAGGAAGCGAGAGATGGAGCGCAGCGATCGCCAATCTGTCGGATATGGCTGCCTCTGTCGACTCACTTCAGAAGCTACTCGTCAAAAAAGCTGTATTTGTTGACGAAGAAACCTTTGCCAAAGCTTCTCTCAGCTCCGAACAAGCCCGAACTATCAAGGTTGGTCGGTCTGTACCTACCATCACCACTTCGTTTCCCGATGCTTGTTGATTCAATTCTTGGTTTTATGCACTAATTGATCGATTTTACTGTTTGGGTTTTGTTCATATACATGTTTATTTATGTTTTGCTTTTTTTTTTTTTTTTTTTTTTTTTT